AACGGCAAAAACGCTTAATTGATGGCCTAAACGACGGAATTTGCCCAAAATTTGACGTGCGTCAGGGCCAAAGGCCCTGAGGTGTGATCATTGGCTCATTTCCAATCAAATTAGACTAGTAATTAGCTAAAAACGAACAAACCCGAAATTAAATGGAATTATTATTTTGCCTTCATCATCTAGTTATAGTGAAAATTAGGCCTACTTCAAGGTCGTTGCTAGTGATGAAAGCTGCTAGAGCTCAGACCCGTGGGTGGAGATAGGGATGGGCTGTAGCCCACCCTTGCCCAAGCCCAGCCTTTGAAAAAAAAAAATTTGGTTAAAGCCCTAGCCCATTTGAAAAATTGAAAGCCCAACCCACCTAAAATTAAACCTAATTCCCACCCATTTATCCAAAATGCGAACCCTCTCCACTCTCTCTCACAGTCTCACTCTCACACCACTTCGTCCCTCACTCCCTCTCTCATTCTCTGCCTCTCTCTCTCAAAGCTGCGAAAGGCAGTCAAACCCTTCGTCCCTCTCTGCTCTCTCTCCGTCTGGCTCTCTCAAACCCAAAACGGCGAAAGTACGAAACACTTTCTCCACCGAACGCCGTCTGTAACTATGAGAAAGGTAATTTTTTTTTGGTTTTTTTACTGAAGTTGATAGTTGATACGTACTTGGAGGCTGGAGCTGTAGTTTTTTTACTGATTTCTTTTTTTTTTTGGTCTATGGTTGTGGCGGGCTTGTGGCTGTGGCAGTGTGGTTAGTGGGTTTTAAATTGGGGTCTGAATTTATAATAAGGCGTGTGTGATTTTATTTTATAAAACCTTAAGATTGTGTGGAGTTAGGTGATTTTGTGTGGACTATGGACACTGGACCGTGTGGTGTCTTTGTGTGTTTGAATATGGGGATTAAATTTGTGTGTTTGAATATAGGGATTGAATTTGTGTGTTTGAATGTGCCTTATTGCCTTACCAATATTACTCTTCAATTTTGTAATAATCAGTTAATCACTATTTTACATTTCCAGAACCAGGAGGTAGGAACGAATCCTTTGCCTTACCAATAGGTTGCTGAACTTGAAACAAGCAGCAAAAGTTGGTGCCTGACTACCTTCAGCCTTGACAAGGTTTAATTCCCAGCCTTCTTAAATATACTTTTCTGTTCAATCGTCATTTAGTTTTTGAATTGAATTTGGAAGTATCTCAATTAATCTGTATTGGAAATTGATAGCACATCTGCTTCTAGTTCTATATCTACTAATGATGTAATCTGGAACCTTACTCCGACTGTTTTCATGTGTAATAGTTGTGCAATTGTGCTTTAGGATTTAGCCATTTAGGCATTTTTTAGGAAATGTTAGTTTGACAATTTAGCCAATAGCAATTTATATAG